GATCAGGCTGCTGCCGTTGCCGCTGCTGTCTTCGTTGAGGAAAATGTCTAAAGAAGCGAAAGATGTTAAAATTATTTTAAAAAAGTCCTAACAAAGAAAAGAACAACTTACTCTTCACCGTGACCAGCTCATTGGCGGGGCGAATCAGCAGCCGTTGGCCGACCTCCACAAAGCCCGAGTCGACCTTGCCGGCGACGCAGACGCCCGACGTCTGCCCCTTGAAGAGGTCATTCACCGCCAGGCGAAAGGGCTTCGTTACCGGGCGCTCGTGTGGCGTGAAGCCATCTGAAATAATCAAAAATAAAATAAAAAATTACTCCAAAAATCCTATCTTCAACCACCAACCACACTCACCGATAATCTGCACCAGAGTCGGCCCGCCACTGTACCACCCAAAAGCGGCCTCCTTCGAGGCCGTCACCAGATTGTCGCCCGTCAGCCCACTGACAGGGACAAAGTGCACCGCTGCACTGTCACCATCAGTCTTGAAGCCGACCGCCTTGAGAAACTTCTTCAGGCGGTCGACAATTTCCCGGTAGCGCTCCTCGCTGAAGCCGACATTGTCCAGCTTGTTCACTACCACCGCCAGCTGACTGACGCCAAGCGAGCGGAGGAGGACGGTGTGCTCCGCCGTCTGTCCGCCCGCCTCGAAGCCGGTCTCGAACTCGCCCTTGGTGGCGTCAATCACCAGCAGGGCGACGTCGGCCTTCGTCGCGCCGGCGATCATGTTGGGGATAAAGTCGCGGTGGCCGGGCGCGTCGAGGATGGTCACCGCGCGGCGCTCCGTGGTGAAGCGCTGCTGACCGACGTCGATGGTGATGCCACGGCTGCGCTCCTCCTCGGTCTCATCGAGGAGCCAGGCGAAGCTGAAGCTCGCCTTGCCCGCCTTCCGCGCGTCCACCTCGTTCCGGTGCAACGTCTTCTTAGGCACCTCGCCGAGCAGCGCCAGCAGGTGGCCCATGATGGTGCTCTTGCCGGCGTCCACGTGGCCGACGATGACCAGGTTGAGGTTCAGCCGTTGGCCGGGGGCGACCCGTTTCCGCCCGTACAGCTCGAGAATGTCCGCCGCCGGCTTCGGCGTCGTCATCTGCTTCAGGTGCTGGCCACTCTGTCGGGAGATTAGCTTGGGCGTGGAGTAGGGTGAAGAGGTGCCCGAAGAGGTGGGGGTAATGTTTGGGGGGTTAGTTTCCGCTGTTAGATTTGATGGCTTGGAGGAAGGAGGTGGCTCAAGGAGGCTGTTGCCACTGCTGCTGGTCGACTTTTTACTGCCGCTTGACTTTGATTCACCGGTGTTGTTTAGCTTTGTCAGATCGCCTTTAGAGTTGCTGAAAAGACAGAAGTGCGTAAGTGTTAGAAAAAACAAAAACTTTAGAAAAAGCAAATAACTTACTTTCGCACCGGAGCACCAGCACCCGATTTAGCGACAGCTGTTTTGGATTTATCTAGATAAAAGAAAGAAAATGAAAACATTAGATAAAAGGAAAGAATGCAAAATCGTTTGAAAAGGGGAAACAAGGGGAAAGCAGTGCGCACCTCCTCTTTGCGATCGTTCGTAGAGCACCAAAGATCGGGTGAGAAAGTCTCTGATGAACTTCCTAAAGTTATACACCTCAAAGTCGACACCTTTCTCTACACTACTATTGCTAGATTGCTGCAACGGGGGCGGCCTTGGCTGCTGCGTGTTCGCTAAAGCTAGAAACAGTTTAGAAGGTTGAGAGGATTGACGCTCAGAACTGGTGCTGCTGCTCATCAGCCTCTCTTCGGAATCTTTGCTTTGGGGGCTTTGCTGCTGCTGCTGCTGCAGTTGCGGCGGCAGCTGTTGCTGCTGTTCCCTGGGCCTTGCTAGACCTAAAGAGAGAGACCGAAGAAGAGGGCACCATTTAAATATTTTGCACTGGTTCGAGGTAGTAGGAAGAAAGGGGAAATCCTCAGAGAAAGGATAGAAACGATAGCTTACCTTGAGGAGGAGGTATTTGCTGGGCCTTCTGAGATGGTTGCGGTTGTGAGCTTTTCTTGGTGGTGGTAGTGTTGTGGCTGGTGGATCGGTTGAGCAGCACGTCGAGCGCCTTCTCCGAGTCGTACTTGCACTTCTTGATCGTCGCGATGATGACCTCCTCGGGAATCGTCTCGCCGACGACGTCCTGAATCGCCTCCAGACATGAGTATGTTTTGGCGTCTAGTGAGTGTGTTTTGAGTAGGAGTTTTAGTTTACTTTGTAATCTTCAGGATTCTAAAAGGTTGTAATCTTACCAATGAGCGAAGGATCGGTGGAGTCCTCTTCGCCTTCGTCACCTTCGTCGTCGTTCCTGTTGTCGCCGTAACCTTCCTCCTCCTCAACCTTCTCCAGGCTCTTCACGACGTCATCGTCGCCGTACAGATACTGACGTGCTGATTCCGCAAAAAAAGAAGTCTTTTAGAGATCGTCATCATCTTTATAACCAGGTAGAGCTTACCCGTTCGCGGCGAGATGCAAGATTCCTCTTCCACCGAGCGACTGTACTCATCGTAGACATCGTTGTACTCTGAGGGAGAAAAAAGGACAAAATAGAATCCAGATTCAGAATTTTCCCTTCAAAAACACCTTCACCCTCTTCACTTACCTTCTTCGTAGTTGAGGCCGCGGATATTACGGTGACGAGCCATCCGAGTGGATGGTGATGATAATCACCCTCAAAAGCAGCAACAGTGATGATCACCCTCTGCTCCAAAAGCGCAAAAGAATGTACACTCGTGGCTTGGCTTGCGTCAGCGTGAGAGAACGAGAGAAATGCTTGGAAAGAGAGAGGAGCTCACTGGCTAAGCTGACTCTGACTGTACAATCTGCACACGCGCCTGCAGCGCCAGTCAGCTGTTTTGGCCGTGGCAGTCAAAACAAGCTGCAAAGCTAGTGAAAAGTGTCTTTGGCGTTTCCTCGAGGCTCGAGGCTCGAGTATCCTCTCATCTCCGCTTCTTCAGCTCTCACACATCCTCGCGACGATGTAGCCGCTTCAGAATAGCCGTTCAATCTCTGGTGACTTTCTCCCACTCATCCGCAATCACCAGCTTCCCCGCCAATGACGTTGGTGTTCAGCCGAGGCGGCGGTGGCAGTAGAAGTTCAACCTCCTCCTCCTCGACGCTCCTCGACGTCCCGCTGGAGCACCTCGAGGAGCTCTTCTGCTCGCCCGCAAGGCAGGCGCTCTTTGACCTCGAAGGGCGCCTGCTGGTTCAGCGGCAAAGTGGTGGTCGAGGACAGCAGCAGCAGCAGCAGCCGTCGTCCGCGGTTGTTGAAAGTCTCGGACAGAAGTCGAACAACAAGAGCAGCAGCCACTACCGAGAGTGTCTCTGTCGACTGCGCGGAAACCTGCTGCTGATAGCTGAAGTGAAACCAGGCAACAACAGCTGTGGCAGTGGAAGCAGCAGCTGTGACAATAATAACAGTCATCATCCTAACCAGCAACAGCCGCCTCAGGTGATCACCGTCCTCGGCGGCGCCAGTGGTCTCGCTCTGGTGCTCCTTCACCGCTTCGAGATTAAGCTGGTCGAGGAGAGGACCACTACCAACAATAACAGCGCTCACCTTACTACGACTAACGGTCCAACGAGTCTTCAGCAGCAGCAGCAGCAGTACGAGTTTGTCCTCTCCGTCAACAACAACAACGGCAAAGTATCTTCATCTTCAGCTTCGGAAAGGTACCACTTCATAGCCGGCAGCCGCGCCGAGCGCGACCACTGGATTCAGTCCATCTACCTCGCCTCCTTTGACTTTCTCCGGTCGATTCAGCGGGCACTTCGGGAGACGCTGGTTGAGGAGAAGGCGAAAAGATCGCTGCTCGCTGCCAAATCGAACTTTCAAACGGTTCAACCCTTTACCCGCTACCGAACTAACCGTTTTGTAAACAGTCACCACTTTTATCGTCATCACCACAATCACCACCAACACCTCAACTTTTTGACCATCCAGTGCACCTCCTCCCCTTCCTCAGTGTCCAGACAACTTCTTCAGCAGCACTCTACCGTCGAGCCCTTCCTCTTTGTGAAGGTCTTTGCGCGACTTCGGCACGTTGATCGCGCCTGGAGCTACCTCGCCCGGACTGAGCCAGTCGCCTCGAGGGCGCCACTTTTCGCCAGTCGAATCACGCTGCCTTCATTCTTCAGCAGCAGCTGTTCACTCAACTCAAAAGAAGTCCTTCCGTTTGAGCTGAAGTTTGAGCTGATCAAGTCGACGGACGGCGAGCTCGACAACGCCTTTCTAGTCGCCTACGCCTACGCACGAAAGTGGCCCACAAGACAGCCTTCCAGTTCTGAATTGAGCTCTAAAGGAGGAGGACACCGAAGAAAGAAAGCCTTCTCAGTGGCGCTCATCTCCGTCGACGGAAGTTTGAGGGTAGTCGGTCGTCTGGTGTTTACGCTGCACCAGCTGAGGCACTCATCGCTGGTCTCAGGTCGACCTAGCCGTCTTCGAGCTTCTCGATCGCTTGAATCGCTCTACTTATCAGCGTCCTCCTGTGGAGGTCATCATCATCATCTGCGGAGATCATCCTCTTCAACGCACCTCATTGAGAAGGCGATGGACGGCGGTGTTAATGGTCACAACGATGACGGGGCTGTATTCGGAAGCAGCAACATCTTCAGCAATACCCTCTACAAGAGGTTCACCTTCAAAGTGCCTACAAGTTCTGGTGCCAATGTCGACCTTCTGTTGGAGGAGTTCATGTCGGAGAGCAAGTTCGCCTTTAGCATTCCGCAGATTTTAATGTAAGCTGTGTTTTTTTGTGAAGAAAAAAATGCTCTAAACTAATTTCCTCCTTTTTCCACAGAAAACTGTACGCCCACGACGAGGAGATGATCATCGCCGCCCTGGAGGCGCTTCTCGCCGCTTCTGAAACTCCCCCTGCCGCACTGAACGCCAGCGGCAATGCCTCCTTCTTCTTCGCGCCTCTGCTCGCCTTTCACCGCCGCTGGCTGGCCACCCTCCAGGACTACCTCGGGGAGATCATCCACTTCATGGCGGAGAGCTCCTTTCGCTCGTCGCGGCACAAAGCCGAGCCCTGTCTGCAGTTTGTGCCCACCAACTTTCACCGGCAGTCCTGTCGGGCGGTGGTCATTGCCAGTTCTGGAAGTTCTTCAGGAGTTGCCCCTTCCTCCGCCTCGCCCTTCTTCACCGTCTTTACGCACGGCTCGTACAGCGCCCACCACCTCGGCTACGAGCGCCACGGGGGCATGCAGTCGGTGGTGAGCGGCAAGAATGAGTCCCTCAAGGTGCTCGACTGCTGGCGGACGCTGAAGGGCCGGCTGCTGGTGGTGTTGCACAGTGAAGGGCGCATCACCGCCAGCTTGAACTCGGTCCTCCTTTTGGAGGGAGGAGGTGATGACCTGCCGCTGAGCGCCGTAGAGCCCATCTACCGCTCGGTGCGGGCGCTCTGCGACACACTGGGCACCCTCCTCTCTGCGGCAGAGGTGGAGGAGCAGCTGGGGATGTTGGCTGGCCTTGAAGCGGGAAATCCTTCTTCTGAGGCTTCCTCTTCAGTTATCGACGCCGTCTTTCACCTGGAGCCGCTGGAGTTGGTGTACGTGAACATTCAGGCCAGTCTGCTGGGCATTGAGCACAAGCTCGAGGAGGCGGCTAAGGGACGAGGAGAAGGAGGAGGAGGTGAGGCGGTGGTGAAGCTCTCCGAGCTGGAGTCCTTTAACCGAAAGCTGAAGGGTAAGAAAATCTTTTATGATTTGAGCTTTGTTTCATCTTTTGTTTTTCTTTAGGCGCCATCGAGTCCCTCCGGCGGATCGTCCTCGCCGTCTACCTGAGCGCCTTTAGTCAGCTCTCTGCTTCAGGAGCGGAGCATCACCACCGAGGTAAACGGGACGATGAAGCGGGGCAGCGGCAGGCGCTGGAGCGGCTGCGCTTTCGCCACCAGGCGCTCGTCTCGCAGGCGGTCACCGCCATGGTCATCTTCATCATGGACCGCCTCGCAGGGATTGACAGTCGGGACTTTCTCACCCGGGCCGCCCGCACCGGCTTCATTCTGGTGCAGCACGAGGTCTGGCTGAGCTGTTTTCAGGAGGAGCAGGGCATGCTGGAGGACATGGTGTACTCGCTGGCAGAGACGGCCGATCACCTCTTGGAGGTGGTCTTTGTCCGGGCGAGAAGTGATTCGACCAACTGTGTAGGAGGTTGTGGTGGTGGTGGTCAGTCTTCGATGCCGACGATTGAGGCCGTGGGGGAGAAGCTGCGGCTGACGTTCTATGTGCCTGAGGAGGCGATGCCAGTGACGACGAGCAACAGCTCATTTGAGTGCCGCATCAAGTCGATCATCTTCAACATTGGCGTCAACGAGGCGGCGACTGTGGCGGAGAGGTATTATTGTAGCTTGTGGTTTAGTAAAAACTGCTCAGGTGATTAACCATCGGTTCTTCTGTAGACTGGGCTACAACAGCTTCCAGCGGCAGCTGAATCGCGACAACTTTGCCAAGCTAAAAGCTTTCGCCAGGCGCTTCTATCCCCAGGATAAAGAGGATGGGGCGGAACTTTTTGGCCTTCTGGCGGAGCTCGAGGAGGAGGTGGGCCCTCGATCAGGCTCTGGCGCGAAGAACTTGCGCGTGATGCAGCTGGTGGAGGCGGTGGTGCGGCGGCTGGGCGGCATTCGGGCCACTTGCTGCAAGAGCGCCAAAGATCGGACCGGCATGTCGGTCACCCTGCAGGAGGTTCGCTACGCCACCGCCTTTTGTGATCAGGTCCTCGGAGGAGGAGGAGGAGGAAGGTCTTCAGCATCTGTGAGCAAGAATGAGAAGCTGGAGCGGGAGATGCTCGACGCTATTCGACGGTAAGCTTTTAGAACTCGTTTTGTGTTAGTTTGTTTTTCGATTTCTAAATCACTCTCTCTATTTACACAGCGACGGCACCCGCCTCGACTGCTGCTTCAAGAACATCGGCGTCCGCAAGTACGCCTTCAATCGCATTCAGCTGGCCACGTACCCGCGCAAGTTCCGGCCGCCCAAGGGCACCTACTACAACACCGTTCTCGAGTCGGCGGCGCAGACTTAAGCAGACTAACCTCTAGGACTGTTCTGAAACCGGTGATGATGATACTACTGATACTGATGATCAAAGTTCAAAACATTGTGTTCTAATATCTTAACTTAACTTTTTGTTTTCTAGTATTTTACCCAATTGTTGTACCCTCTTGTTTTATCCTCTTTCATCCTTCCTTTGTTATTCACCACTTTTCTAACCTCTCTTTGTTCATCTCCTACTTTTTTTTCTACTCTATAGTCATTTTCATCACAATACAAAAGCCTTCAAAGAATCTTTAGATTGCGGCGACGGCACCTACTCCGCTAATTGCCACCTACTACCTTCGCCTGGTGCATTTCAATCAATAGTGTGCTGGTGTTGAGTGGCTGCTGCTGCAGCTCAATCAAGTGGAACTGATGAGAGCGGCGTTAGGCAACGGAGGAGGAAAATAGAAAACAGAAAATAGAAAAGGGAAAGAGAAGAAAAGGAAAGAGGACTGTTGGCTGCTGGCAACACCTTGACAATTGCTCTCTGTCCACACACCACACCAGATTAACCAGCATTATTACTCAGAGAGTACACACTTCAGTGGCTAAGCTGCCAAGCTCTGTCTGTCTGTGTGTTGATGACGCGTCGGTGGAGAGCTGCAGCAGC